TTGATCATTTGGACAATCATTTAATGTAATTAATTCATAAACTTCATGTGCATTAGCTGGTAAATCATTTAATTCAACTGAACTTGTTGAAATTTGTTCAAATGAATCAGAATCTTTTTGTATAGTTATTGAAGATGATGATGATGCTGTATTAGTTGATGGTTTTCCCCATGGATTTGTTCCTGATGCATAACCTGGAATATTTAATACAAGTAAAGTATGACAATTTTTAATTGAATCTGTTAAATTTTCACCATCACATATTAAACGTATATATGAACTTAAATTCCATAATTTTGAACGTGCAAAATCATTTAAATATTTTCGACTTTCATTTAAATACATTAATTTATTTTTTAATGGTGATGAAAATTTCGTTGGATTACGTGATCGTCTATCATGAAATTCTAATGCTATAGCTGCATCTAAACCAAAACTCATATAATTTATAAAACGTGTATTTGGTAATGTACGATGATTTTGATATGATGGACGTTTTGTATCACGAATAAATTTTGGATGTGTTATAAAAGATAAAAATGTTCGTCCACTATTTGGATTTATATTTGAATTTATTACATCCAATTGTTCAATTGTTACTTGCCAACGATCAAGTGCTATAGGTTGTGCTTGAGGAATTTGTATTAATGTTGATAATAAATGTTTTGGATCATATTGATCACCCCATGATAATACACGAGATAAATCATTACCTGTACCTAATGGACATATAGATACAGGTGGATTATTTAATGGTGGATATGATTCAGCTAAACGACCTAATACCCAACCAACAGTTCCATCACCTCCAAATACACATATACGAATATTTGATAATGATGAATAAATATCTAATGCATTAATGATTGTTTGATCATTTTCAAGTAAAAATACTTGACGAGGATTTAATAGATGTAATAATTTACGATAAATTTTTTCACCACTTTGACCACCAGAACGTTTATTTATAAATAAAAGTAATGGTGTATAGATAGTATCATATTCATCATAATTCGAAGGATATTGTGCACGAAAATTTGATGAAGAATCAGAAATACGATGTATCCATTGTGGTCGAACAATTATATTTCTAAAATAAAATTAAAAAAGAAATGAAAAATTTTTTGTACCAATAATTTCTTTGTATGAAATTGTACCTAAATACTCCATAGTCACATTTATTTTTATCATCTTGATTGGATATTTGATCCCAACATTGTCTATGATAACTACGAGAACACCATAAACATTGAAGACCAGCTGTTATTCCAGACAATTTTGGACTGCCAGGCACTGGGCTTTTATTATTGTTTATACCTTTATTCATTATTTCTAATGTTGACATTGTTGATGGTCGTGTATTACCAAATAGAGAATTTGACATTGATTTTCGTTTACAAATAGTACAAGGCTTAGAAAGGATTGATATATTAGACCAAAAATGTCGATCATGCTTATTTTCTTTGTCATTTTCATTATCATCACAAAATGAAGGACGACATGATGGCATATAATTTGTTATATTTGTTTTTGTTGTTTGTAAATTTGACAGATGATGAGTATGTACAACAATTAAACAGGATTCACATTGAACAAGTGATAATAGAAGTGTTGGTTTACGATTTTGACAAGATAAAAAAGAACATGCTGGAGCTGAAGAAAGATCATTTGGATTATATGGAAACCAACAATGTGATATTGGATGTGCTTGATCACTCCAATCGACACCAATTATAAATGGAATGTTTGATTGTGATGATGCAGATTGTTGAATTCTAGAAACATAATATTTAAAGTATGAATGATTGATTTATTAAAAATTAAATCTAATTTGAATAAAAAAAAAAAAACGCCGGTTTGTGAATTAACAAGTGCATTCATACTTTGTTGTTTTATTTTGACAAATATTATTTTAAATTAGAAATTCAATATGATAAATTGATCTGTCAATTTATTCTTATCTATTCTTTTGATCACTGACAACTGTTAGTTAGTTAGTTTGTTCCTAGAGGTTGACAATCAATTTTCTTTCTATTTACTTCAAATGCATATACATCATCTCTATGTCCGAAATAAGACAAGTAAATAGTATGTCAGAAAAATATTTTTGTTAGATGCATTTATTTGCTTGTCGATGAATATGGTTATTATGATTATTATTATAATTTTCTTTTTTTGTTTTTAAATTAAGTATATAGATAAAAATAAATAAATTCTTCTTCTTTTTTCCTCACCTGCTAGAATTTGATATTGATTCATTTATTATTTGTTCTGATGCATTAATTCTAAAATCTTTTGATGATATAAAATGAAAATCTTGTTCATTATCTTCATTATCCTCATTATTATTTAATGATCCTGACATTAATGGATGACATATATGATTAAATGTTGAAGATATCTGCTCAACTGGTGTCGTTGGTAATGAAATTGATTCAGTTCGACCTAATTTTTTATTATGTGTTTCTATACTATGATTATTTGAATCAATATCTAATCGACGTAAATTACGTTCTAGTGTTCGATGTGATTGAGTATGAGGATGATGATCATAATTTCGAATTATTGATGTATCACAATCACGTGCTTGACTAATAGAATCAAAACTTGAATGAGCATTTATATTTCCACATGTTTGCATTGCTGTTGATGATGATATCGTTGTATCAATACATGGTGTATATTCAAGTCTATGTGGTGAACGAGATATAGATCGTGATGTCGATTCTGCCATTTTTGATTAGAAAAAGAGAGACTAAAATATGTGTGGAATACATCCGAACATTTTGTTTGATTATATTAGAACAAAAAAAAACAAGAAAGGAAAATGATGAAAAATTATCGGAAACTATGTTGTCATCTCATGCTTTTCTTTCTTCTCTTTCTTTGTAGTTGTACTACTAGTATTCTACTTGTCAACAATATGAACATCTTCAAATATGACAGTTTTCTTTTTTTCTTTGTCATTTGTTCTCTATTACAGCATGATGTCTGCTATGTCACTAACATAGTCGACATTCATGTCAACAATCGATGAAGATAGTGATGATGATGATGATGAAGATATGGAAAACTGTCACATCTGCTTCTGTCAAATGAGACAACAATAATGTTTTCTTCATTGTTTTCAATCCTATTTTCACCCCTACTGTGTATCTATTATATGTATATTAGGCACGCTAAGGGATAAATCAATGAATTCTGCTGTTGTTCTTGTTGCTTTTCTATATTGTTACAATGAATTCATCTATTCAATTTCTTAGATAGTGTAACTAAATGTATAAAGAGAAAAACAACAATTCATAGTGCTGTTCTGTATTTTTCTAGTAGTTGAGATCATATGTGACCTTATTGTTATTTGACTAGGAGATAACTTCTTCCTACCTGACTACCGGATTTGATAATTTAGTCGCATAAATATACACATAAATATTGTCGCGCTAATTGTGACAATATATTCCTACAGACGAGCATGAATAGAAGCCAGAAGTTTGTTATTTTTTTTTTTTTGACAGACAGCACACACAAAGCAAGAAAGAAAAATCTACGTTATCAGACGGAACTCGGGAGATTTTTCTTTCTTCCTTTTTTATTCGTTTCTTTTTTTTCTATGATGCTGCCGAGAGCAAGAATACGTACTGGGTATGTTTGTCTGCATGTAATGGAAGAAAAAGAAAAAGGTGTATGAGTGTTTATGGAAGCTGAAAGTAATAATATACTCAAGTTAAAAACTCATACTTTTTATACGTGTTATTTTTTTTTAAAATTTTCATGAAATATCACATAAAGTAAATGAAATGACGACAAGTTTTTTACAACTGACAAATACCAGTGCATTTCATTTTAGTAATCTTACTTTTGTTTTACGTATGAGACATAAATCAACAATAAGATAAGATGCAAAAACAACATATATATCATAGGTGCAAATGAATGGTAATTCATAAATTGAACCTTGTTTTATTATATTTTCTCTCTTTTATTACAATAATACAAAAAACAAAATATAGAAATTTATGAAGTTGCTGTTTGTTGAGCCATTTTTTTCAAAATCATAGCTTCAAAATCTTCAAAATCAGGCTTTGTTAAATCTACGATATCATGCTGCTTGTTTGTTGATAACGATGATGACGTTGATGTCGTTGTTGTATTTTTTTGTTTTTGAATTTTAACTGACGCAAATGGTCGTTCATCTAAACCTTTTTCATTTTCAATAAATTGTGATATATGATCGTCATAAAATTCAATTAATGCACGTTTAACATTAAGATTAACAATTGTTGAAATATTTCCATATTTACTAAATATTTGTCGAAGTTCATCATCTGTATATGGTTTTGTATTTGAATTATATTTAACAATAATATTTACATGATTCGATGAAATTTTTTGTTTATCTTCTTCAAACATATTATGAAGTTTTTCAAGTTCTTCATCAACAAGACGATTTCCTTCACGTCTTAAACGTTCAATTTCAGCACGTAATTTATTTGTATTAGATTTATTTATTATTGTTGTTGTTGTTTGTGATGCTTTTTGTTCATTACGTTCAAGATCTTGTTTAAATTTTTTTCGTTTATCATCCATTTGTGATAAACGTTCTTGTTGATGTTTTTTTTGTTTTCGACATGCATCATAAGCTTCTCGAGCTTGTTTATCTGTTAATAATTCTAAAGCTCGTTTTATAAGTAAGAAATGTTCTTTTTTTTCATTTTCATTTGGATATTTATCTGGATGACATTTTAAAGCTTTTCTTCGAAATGCTGTTGTTAATTCTTTTGTTGAACATGTTTCATTAAGACCAAATAATTCATAGAGATCCAATTGTGTTATATCGGCCATTGTTTTTTTTACTGTTAATCTAAAAGAAAAAATAAAATAAAATAATTGAGATGAAAATATATATATATATATATATATTTATTTATTTTATGAAATGGAATGATGAAATTTATTTCACAATGCAAAAAAGAAAAAAATTTTATTTCTTTCTTATCTTGTTATTCAATTCCAAAACCTTCACAATTTTCAATAGCCAAAAATAATTTTTCTTTAAGAATTTCACAAGTTGAATAAGGCGGTAAAAGTAATTGATTGAAACTAGAAAACAAGAAAAGATTGAATAAGAAATAGATTATATTGATAAAAAGATAAAATAATTACATACCATGTATGTGACATGGGTAACCTAGAAAGAAAACAAATCGAGATGCATATTTATGTAAATAGAAAATTCTTTTATTTGGTTTTTATCATTTGATAAGAAAATATTTCCATACAAGCTATGTTTTGCTTTCCAAAAAATTAAATTTTCGCATCTATATATATACATATATGGAAATTTCTCACACAGCGAAAGAATGCATTAAAGAAAATTAATGGAAACTCTCAAAATCTCATAGTATTTACTGAAACCTATCCTAAAACTATAGTAAATTAACGAGAAACTACGAAATTTCTTCGCAAGAAAAAACCTACTAAGAAATTTTTGAGTAAATTATGAAATTACGAGGTTATTTCCAGATAATTTCAACAATTACCGATCTCTTAACAGAAAATCTCTCGCTTTTTTTTTGAAAAACGAACTATATAAGCATTATCTAAAAACATCTACATACATGAAACAAATTTCAATCCAACATCGAACGATTCTGAGAAATTATTATCATTACTCGACATAGATAGCATTGTACTTATCTATGAAAAAGAAGATCTTACCCTACGAAAAATATTTAAGTCATTTTAGAAGTTACGTCATAACTTTATCTTTTTCTCTGAGTCATAGAGTACATTGACATACATATAGGAAAAAAAAATCTGTCGTAATTCCTAAGAAATCACTAGAATTATTAATATTCTCAAGAGTAGGTTCTTGTTATCCATTGAAAAATACATCAATATACATCAGAAATATATAGACAGTAAATTTAGCATCTACTGAAATTTGCTAGCAATTTCGCAGAAATTATTAAATCTATATTTTGCATGAAATTTTTTTGTGAAACATTGTTTGTAGACATTTGTGAATATTATGCATTATTGCATATTTAAGTTTTGTGAAAATTCCTTCTTTTGCATATTGGAATTTGCTTAGTAGTATATGAGGATTTTTGAAATTTACTTTTATTTTTGAGAATCTAAAGACTATAACTATTGAATATTGATATAACAAAACAAAAACATTTTAAATTTTTGTTAATTAAACTAAAACTCAAAAGGAAAATTTTTGATGTATTCATTATAAAAATTATTTTCAATAGAAACAAAAAAAAAGTAATATTCTTATGAAAATTAAAATAATATTTAACTTACAAATCATTAATGTTACATTTATTTGACGATATTTTTGCAATTTTAAATGTCATTTCACTTAAACCTCCAATTGGCATACGATCACTACCAGTAACAAATAATAATAGACGTCTTTGTTTATCTGATGACATTTCTTCAACAACTTGCCAAAACCATCTTAAATAAAATGATCATAAAATTTAGGTTTTTTTTTTTTTGAAGATAAAAAAAGCAAAAATTTTGAAAATTTACTTGATAAAATCTTCATTTGGATCACAATTTTCATATTTAGTTATTTTAGCTAAACTACTTAAATTACATTGTTCCATTCCACATATTAACATTTCAAGTTCTTCTGGTACAAGTAAAAGTAATGCATTTGATGAACAAACACTATGAAAACCATAATAAAATGCTTCAAATTGTTTTGATATATGTTTATTTATATAAAAATCAATTAATAATTCAACATATTCATTTCGATTTTCATTTGTTACATTGATTTTTGATCCATTTTCTTTCAATGGACATATTATTGATGTATCATATTGAGCCACTGAAACCTTTGAAAAAAAATATATGTGTTAATTGATTTATCTTTTCATTTGTGTACATTCATTTCTTGTTTTCACCCTCAAACTACTAAGAATACACTATAGGAATATGAGAAATTATGCTTAATGAATTAAAAGTCAAGTCTGTTTCATATTTTTGTTTATTTGAAAAAAAAAAGTAATAACTGAAGGACTTAGTTCGATCATAACACATATCTTCAATTGTTAATATATTATTCAACTGAATCGTATAAAACAAAAGATCGATTTCTTCTAGAAACACAAATTATGAAATACTTTCATTAGTATATTAAAAGCCTAGCTATTGTATTGCATTGCATAGAAGATCTTATCTTTTATTCAAAACTATTGATGCCAATTCTATAGAAGATCAAGACAATTTACTTGAATAATATTATAAAGATAATAAAAGAAAACGTTGAGAAATCAAATTGCAACTGATTTTATCTCAAGATTAAAATTATCTATATATATTTTCTTTTTTTAATATTAAATAAAAATACTAGTAGTTTATTATTATTTCTCTTTTCCATATAGGTTAGTACTCAAAGGAATTAATGTTCTTGACAAAAGAAAAAAAAACAAAGAAATCAGTTTCCTATTTGTCTTTTCTTATTTTTATCAATAAATCTCATTAGATCAGTTTAGTTTACTCTGAATACAATCTCTAGTGAATTTCATATGATACAAATTACTTTGTATCCAGGATTTTTTTTCTATTCCACAAAATCGATTTAAAAATGTAAAGGGACTATTATATATAATTCACATTACAATAAAAATAATTTTCATGCGAAACTAAATAAAAATATTATTGAACAAATTCTTTAAATAATCATATTAAATCTAATATTTACTTCAAAAGTAAGACCAAAATCTTCTTCAACATTTCCATCATAATCAAGTAAATATTGAAGACTATTAGCAATATCCTAAAGAATATAAAAATAAAAATTTTTATCATTTTAATTTTTCTTTTTCTTTTTTGAATTACAGGTCGAATTGTTCGAAAATCTGCTAATGTTGGTTTAATAATTCCAACTTTAGTTTTTGATAAATTTGTCATATGTTCTGTTATAAATGCAGGTGTTAATAATTTTTTATAACAAACCAATGGAAAACGTATATCAAGAATAATTGCATTATAAACTGCTAGACCCATTAATATACCAACTAAATTATATTCTCGAATATTATCAGTTGATGTACCATTAAACCAAAAAACACCGGATAATTCATAAAATACAAACATTCCTAAGAAACAAAAAAAAAAAAAGACGAAATTTTTGATTGAAAATAATTTATCAAAACTAAATACCATAATCAGGTAAAAATATGTCTCGAAGTAATAGAAGAAACCATTCTTTTGTTAAACCACCCATATCAAGACCATGTTCACCAACAAATGTTACACGTAATTTTTTCTTTAAATCATCACGTTTTTTTGTAACCTGTTAAAAAAGTATATAAAAAAAAAAAAAAACAAAGCATCAAGATAATTATATACTTCAGTAAGAGAATCAAGAACTAAATGTGATCGTCGAATGTAAAGATTTAAAAAAAGCATGTTTAAATTTGGTGTTTGTTTATTTTGAAATTTTTGTATCATACTACGCTGAAAAAACAAAATTTATTAAATAAAGTTTTTCTTTTGATAATACAAAAAACTTACACGAGCATTAATAATCATTTGTTGTTCAGAATCACGTTTTAATATAGTACGTTTAGCATTAATACTTAATACAAATGGATATTGACAAAATGTAAAACTAAAACAAAAAAACGAACAAAATTTTCTTTTTTTTTTCGTTAAAACAATAAATCACATCAATGAAGATAAAAAAAACTAAACAATAAAAGCCACGAAACTTTTCTATGCATATATATGTCTAGATAACGACATCAATGAAAAACAAAGGTATTTCTAACCCGCCAATTATTCCACGTGATTTCCGTTGTTTCCATTCAACATAATCACGTTCTCCATCAATATAATTTAATGAATCTATTGCCATTTCGGCCAAAGGTATTATACGACCATTTAACCTTTCATTAGCATTATCTGTTTATATTAGAGACAAAAAAAAACAGTTGGCAAATATTTCTATATGCATTTACAACTGATTATCAAGCAAAAGAGAGCATAGAAAAAAAAAACTCAATAAATATATCTTTAACTACCCTGTTGATCTTTTTAACCAAAGATGATATTCAAATTCAATATCAATATCATCAAGTAAATCAATAATAAATTCATTATAATTCATCAAATTTCGATTTAATTGTTCATTAGCTACATCTTTATTTATACTATAATAATATATTCTCTTTCTTCTATTTTTTTTATTAAACTTACTAAATAATGCTAATGTTCGAATAGCACATGGAATCCACCAACCATTAACAAATGTTGATGTTGAATTATTTAAACGTGATGGAAAAAGATTTATAGCAACAAATGTTTGTAAACGATGAACAGTTGATCGAAACATATCAACTGGTAATCTATTAATAATAATAAAAAACAAACAAACAGACAATAAATTATAGTTTATTTTAATGATGATAGGAAAATAATTCTTACGTTTGTAAAAGTGAAACTATTTCTTGATGTTCATGATCAACAAAATGTGAAATACGACGTAATACATGAGCAAAAATATGATTATTTGATGAATCATCGAAAACAGGTGCCTAGAAAATCTTACAGTTACTTTAAATTAAGAAAAAGAATACCAGTGTTCAGGTTTCCAAAACAAAAAAAGTAAATTTCTCTCATGAAAAATCAAATTTTAGAAACTGCTCCCATAGACAAAACCATATCAACAAGAAACTTTGGTAATTTCTCTTGGAGCAATAGAAACTCTCTGTTGAAAAATACTCAGGTTCTCAAGACATTAGAAGTAAATTTTTAGAAAAATTTCAAAGCTCCTCATGTAACACTAAAAGTAACCTTCAGATGATTTCGATAATGAGCAATACGCGAAAATGAAAATATTATTAATTCTAGTAATTCTTCAGAAATTGCGGAGTTTACCAGAAAATCTTAGTAAATATTAAGATTACGAAATATGTATTCTATATGAATGTCAATGTACTTTATGATTGAGAAAAAGAAGTTACATTTTGAAGTTTAAGTAATTTTATAAATTTCGTAGTAATTTCTTAGAATAGTTCGATGTTGAACGGGAATTCATTTCATGGGTGTCGGTGTTTTCTACTGATGCTAATATAATTTTTGTTTTTGATAGTTTCTAAAAAAGTTGAGAGATTTCTTGTTGGAAGAGTGGTAATTGTCGAAATCATCTGGTTAATTTACTATTGATTTAGAATAGATTTCTATAAATACTATGAAATTTTGGAAGTTTTCATTAAATTTTCTCTATCTGTTTCTTTGATACATTGTTTCGCTGTGTGAAATTTTGCTTTTTTTCGAAATCTGAACATGTCTTAAAAATAAGAAGAATATATTACCAGTATAAGAATGGTATAACCTTTGAAAATGTATTCAGATGAACTATAAACAAAAAGACGAAATGCAAGAAAAAAATAAATGCAGCGAAAAGTAGTTGAGCCAACACTTAACTACATATTTTTGAACAAAGTTCAACTTTTGTTAGATATTTCTCTCGGATGAATTTGCTAGGACAGAAATATTAGATCTTCAATTTTCTATGGGATATCTAAGAAGTAGTAATTTGCATCAGAATTGATGAGAGTAAGTAAAAAAACTTTTATTTTGGAAATGTCAATTCAATCCAAATGGATTCTTTAAGAACGAAAGTATTGAATCGTTTATAGACAGATAATTTCTTCAATACAAAAATGATCTTCTTCCCTGATCTCATGTTGTTATTGTTCTTGGTTCAAGCTTAACAGCATTTTTTTTTAATGTATAATATATATTGCTATTTTAATCGACAGAAAAATATGAGCTCGAATTAGTAATCCTTATTTTTACCTAAATTGTTGATTATGATTTGAAAAACAAAAACTGTAAATAGTTTAATTAATAAATTTAAGAAAAAAAAATATATTATTTTTGTTTTTTAAATTCTTACCGAACTTCTCGTATACAACATGATGCAATTGTTTTAAGTACTAATCGAGATATTGTATCAGTATTTTTTATAATATATTCATGAATTATTTCAAGATATTTCCAATTTATTTGTTTTGTATTATCATTCTAAATGAATAAATAAAATTTTTAAGAATAATTAATTTTATCTTCTTTCTTACCAATGTTAATGATTCTATCATATAAACGAAATTTGAATAAAACATTGAGAAAAAAGCAAATATTTTATCATTATCAGGACTTTCGTCATTTATCAAACGTCTATTATTAATAAAGATAGTAATAACTATTTTAATTTAATAGAAACTTCTTACTGGAAACTTTCACAATCATAAATATTAATTGATGATATAGGTGCTGTTGTTGCTATTATTGGTAATGACAATGAAGTCAGGTTTTCTTTACTTGTCTGTAAAAAAAAACAAAAGTGAATAGCATCAATTTTCATTTATACATTAACCCTTTAACAATGAACTTATTTTTAGAACAAATAAAGTAAAACTCTATTGTTCATATGGTATACTTTAAAAATTATTGGCGGTGATAATTTTTGCATTTAAAAATTCAACTTTGTTATCAGTGAGATCTATGTCAGAACACAACTAATATTGAAAACGTCTGTTTTATTATATTCCGGCTTCTTCTCGAAGGATTAATAAAAAAATTTTCAGTGCTTTTTTTAATTTTAGACACAAGCTTCACTCTCACTCGCAAGGTAAAGTTTCTAAATTTGAGTCAAGACTATGTAGATCATGTAGGTTCTAATGAGCTATGAATAGCTTATTACCCTCGAGATACTGTATTTTTGACAGAACGCTGTGGTCCTCGTAGAAACATCAGGAAAACTTAGTTTCGACTTGACACTTTGCATAGAAACAAGTCTTAATCAAAATAGTTTGTTACCAAAGTTTCAGATCTTTTAATTGGTTCTATTCTAAGATATGGTTATAGTAAAACCATCTTTTTCACGCTGCTCGTATATAACAGCAAATTCGGATGCTTCTTATTTATGAATAGGTGAAATCGAAAAAATCTGAAACTTAGTTTACCTGCTGTTCCTGAGGAGTACCATGGCTTTCTGCTAAAAAATACAATATCTCGGCAGTAGTAAGCTGTTAGCTCGAATTCTTTTCATGATATTCATAGCTCATTAGAACCTACATGATGCACATAGTCCTGACTCATAAGCGATTTAACACTTAGAAACGTTTCCTCGCCAGTGTATGAATTACATCAATAAATGTAGTGACTGTATTTCAAGTAAAAAAAAGTACCAAATTCTCTATTACTATTCGAAATGTTAACTCAAATTGAAGTATCTTTTATTTGTATGATTAATTTCCTACTATCTAAATCATAGTGTGAAAAATAAAACATTTTGCTATCAAAATATTTAGTCATTGATAAATATTATTATTATTTCGTTTGTTAAAACTTACTTTTTCATTTGTTTGTTGTTTATTTTCAATTGATGGTAGTTTAACATTTGTAATGTTTTTATCTCGTCTATGATTTATTGTTGTTCCATTATTATTAATAATATTTTGTCTTCGTAAAATTATTCGATTAAATGTTCGACTAAAACGTGAACGAAGACTTAAACCATTATTAATATTATCATCTCTTGTTCGTCTCTAAATAAAAACAAAAAAAAAAATCGAAAAATAAAATTTTAATAAAACTTAAAACAAAAAACAAAACCTACCTGAATATCTTGTTTTAATTGTTGAATATTTGGTAAATTTGGTCGAATAAGAAATTCTCCACAAAATGGACATAATATTCTTGTACGTCCATTACATTGTGGATCAGATTCAATATCAAGTTGACATCGTCGACAATGAGATGTAATTAATGGTATTTCAGAAAATGAATTTCGACGTAATGAATTTGCCATGATGAAGTTTATATTTAAAATAATGACAATTATTACTTTTCTTGCTTTCCTACTTACTTACTCACTCAATATAAGAATATTTCATTGGTTTTAAATTAACAACCAATCCTATAAAACTACATGGTTGTCAGTTGTTGTTATTTTTTTTCCATTTCTTTCTTCATTCCACGTGTCGATTAGAACTACAAATTTTTGTTTTGTTTTTTTTGTCATAAAACTCAATGCCACAAATTATGTTAATGAAAGCCGAATATTTAGTTTTACTTAGTTTTTTATTAACAACTGTTGTTATAACAAATGCTTTTTATATAAAAAAGCAATTCTATCCATCAGTTGTATATTTAACAAAGTCAAGTACAAGTCTTGCGGTAGGAAGAAAAAAACAATAAATTAATTTCTAAAAAGTTAACTCATAATTTTCTTGTTTTTTTTTGTTGTCTTAGGTTCTTTATATTCAAGCATTTGTATTTGTTATTTTATTTGGTAAACTTATTCAACGAATATTTCTTGGACAACTTCGAGCTATTGAAACTGAAGTTTGTTGAGAACTAAAAATTTTTTTTATTTAAATTTTATTTTTTTAGCATCTTTATGATCGTGCATGGTTTTCTATAACAGAAACATGTTTAGCATTTACTGTATTTCGTGATGATTTCAGTCCACGTTTTGTAGCTTTGTTTGGAATTTTACTTTTTCTTAAATGTTTTCATTGGCTTATAGAAGATCGTGTTGATTATGTAAGTGAAATTAAGTTTTTGTGTTTTCTTTTTAATAGAAAAGAAAAATTCTTTAATTTAGATGGAACAAAGTCCTATTCTTGGACCAACATTTCATGCACGAGTTGTTGGTAAGATGAAGTATTTAATTTTCACTATTATAAATATTCTATGATATTTTTTGTTTTGTTTTACAGGACTTTTAAGTGTTTTATGTCTTTTTGATTATTTATTTATTTCATCAGCTTATATGCATACAATAGCAAAAGGAGCCTCAGTTCAAATTGTTTTTGGTTTTGAGGTATGAAGAATAGAATTCATGAAATTTTTGAATAGTATATAAGTGTGAAAATTTGTATGCAATTATAATCATTTATAAGCAATCTAGTTTTATTTCTGAAAGAACTAGTGATGTTAATTATTTTAGCACTTACATGTATTCACTAGCTGTTTTTTTTTATTAAAGGACCCCACTCATTAAGGGGCCAAATCTGCCACCCCACTAAGGTGCCATTTTTATATCTTGGTTTTGTAGCTTGGATCCAATCACACATTTAGAAATATTGGTTTTTCCCCACAGACTTTTACTTACATAGAGAAGTGAATATCTCTATGATCACATGGCAGGAGTCAATTGAGGTCCTTGAATCTCACTTTTCTCTTCTATGGAAGAAGGTTTTCAAATTCTTATTTCATAGTTAGAAGCAGTCTCATAGACCTTCTAATTCCCTATAATCACCTTTTTTTCAAACTCTTCAGAGATAGAATAAAAACTGAAATATGGTTACTAAGGCCATATAGTATATATATATGTATATATATAGATATGAAAACTTGAAGTGACATTATCTCAATAATAAAAACTAATACCTCGACGAAACTTTTACAAAAACTTGCTAATATACTCAGATTTATTTTGATACTATTGCGACTTTAAAATATTTTGTCCAAAGTTCTACTTGACACTTGAATATTCTTAAATGTCACCATATTCAATAGAAATCCTACTTATATTTGGAGATTTTCATCATCAAAAACCGTTTTCCCAACGCAATACATGTGATATTCGGAATCAACAACAAAATCTGAGTAGAATGACATGTGTTTTACCAAAAAATATTTTTCATCAAAATCACCGCCCGGGGTATCCCAGGCAAGGTTTTTTCAAATAAAACGGCTGAGGGGAGTACAGGTGCCATTTTGACGAGAAATATTTTTTGGTAAAACACATGTCATTCTACTCAGATTTTGTTGTTGATTCCGAATATCACGTGTATTGTTTTGGGAAAATGGTTTTTGATGATGAAAATCTCCAAATATAAGTAGAATTTCTATTGAATATGGTGACATTTAAGAATATTCAAGTGTCAAGTAGAACTTTGGACAAAATATTTTAAAGTCGCAATAGTATCAAAATAAATCTGAGTATATTAGCAAGTTTTTGTAAAA